GGTGCTTCCAAGCCCCGGGCGGAGGCAGCGTAGTGCCTCTGGCCGGGAAGGAGACAGCGGGCGTGGGACAGCGAGCCCTGTGCAGACCGCGCCGCGCGTAGTGAGAGCTTGCGCTTAGTAGGCTCTCGATGCATTTCTGTGGAACTGCTTTCTGGTTGGGGAAACCTGAGGAACAGGGGAACAGGGTCCCCCGGGTCTAGTAGGGGAGCGTTCGTGATCCAGGTCGAGGTGGATGGGGGCGAGGCTACCGGAGATTGTGGGGCAATGCGGGCGCTGCAGGGAAGGGGGCACCGCCGACTGACTTAGGGCTCTGAGGCTCTGACGGGAGCGGGGGGTCCTCAGGGTCGAAGAAAAGAGGTCCACTGGGAGAGAGGGGACACCGGGACGCTTGATGGGGGCTGAGGTGACTGGGGCACCCCGGGTTTATAACGCGAGGTGGGAAGGGATGCGCAGGCGGCTGCAGGAAGACTTCTCTGCAACTGCTCGGGGTCCTAAGATTCGTGGGGACTGGGGCTTGGGTATTCGGGTAGCTGAAGCGAAGCGACTTTCCGGAGAGGGGGTTGCGTGCAAAGAAGGATGCTAAGAAACAATTTAAGTGCACACCGTGGCATGGACCTCAAGTTTGAAGGCTGGGCGATTGGAGTCTCCAGGTGATTTTGACATTTCCTTTTGGCATTCCCACCGAAAGCTGGCTCGCAGCTAGACCTTTTCAGCTATCCTTTAATTTTAAATGTATGTACGTATTTGATGGTGTTTTACAGTTAACCAATTTTTCCGGAGATTCTCAAAGCTGCACCTTGAAATTCTTGTAGCAGCCGCTCCAGCTGCTGAAGATCCTTTCTTCAGGTCTCTTCATCTATAGCCACTGCTCAGTTCTATACCAAGTGGCTCAGTTCTTACCAAGTTAACATTTAGATTGGACTGGATTGCTTAGTTTGCTACTGACTTGTATTCTACAACAAATACGTAATTCACATGCTTTCTTTTTCTTGCTTTTAATTGTTTCTTTACAAGATCATGCAAAATTGAACCACAAATTCTATAGAAGTTTTAAGGTACTTTAACTGTGTGTTGAATTGGAAAGATGTTGGTAAGTTAGCAGCCTAGAAACCAATACTAAAATCAGGTTGAGGTTTCTAACAGTTGGGAATCTTAATGTCAGATGCTTAGTTTAATTTTAAGAATCTTGCATTTGTGTAACACTCTTGAGAATGGATTAGGAACATAGGAAATGCATATCAGGGTTAGGCAGTGAGTGGCAGTCCACTGAGGCACTTCCTGTCTCTGAGAAGCAGCAGCTAAGATTTGCACAGCTAAATCTTTAATCTTTTAAATATTTCCTTAACCCCATTTGTTATCTTACTAATTTCTCATAATTTATAAAATGAAAGCTTTTTTAAGATTTTATCAAATCTTAAAGAGATTTGATAAAATTTTATAGATCAGATTGTGCCTTTTAATGCAATTCATTGGTCAGAGAAAATCTGCAAAAAAAGTTAATATGTTCAGTTGGCACCTCTTTAGTTCTTGAATAATTAATGGATAATTACTTTTTCTTTTCTCCCTATTGTCCTTGAATTTTACTGTTTGTCCTTAGGGAGAATGTACTGGCACACAAAACAGTAGCCTAAAATACTGAAACCTAACACCTTTTAACATTATAATAGCTTCTACATTTTTCACCTTGAGATTCATCTGTAGCAAACCAGTGATCTTAGAAAGCTATTTCTTATCACCTTTGTTTAGAATGGGCTGTTTTCTCCATTTGTAGACAAGGGACAATAATGCAGTAATAACTAAACAATGAGAATGGGAAGCTTGGGAAAAAGATACATGGTATGAGCCATATTTCTTCTAGAGCTGTATTTGTAGACCATGGAGATGATTATTTTGCAGATCAGGAAACCAAGGCCCAGAATAGTGGAAGGGACAAAATTGCTAGTTAGTGATGGACACATCTCTGGACTGTAGTCCAGGGTTTTTCTATTTTATCACATTTAAAGTGTTTATTTTATTCTATTTTTCCCATTGAGGTATTTTATTTGCACATATGTATTATACCTATAGAAAAAGAATCCCAGGATTTGCCCTCCTGTGTGTTTTTGTCTTTTCTTCATGGTCCATAATGCCCGCTGAGGTTGGCAGTACAGTGAAACGAAACTGACAGGTTGTTCTTCCATTTTGCTAGATCTTTAAGTTGCCCATGTGGTTTACAACAATTTTCCCAGCTCTGTGATCAGCGGTGATCTCAGATTCACCAATGTAACCGTGCTTCATCATCACAGTTAGAAACCGGACAATGACTTTGGAGCACAGCCTAATAAGAACCTGGAGTTTGCCTCTCTTTTTGGCATTGTTGATACTCTTAGAGCCAGTACATTCATGTGCCTCATTATGGTGGCACAGAAAGATGGCGGAAAAGCATAGTGTTTAAACGAAAACATTCTAGTGCCAACTATAAATGGCTTTTGAATTATTTGTGATGTTGTTCCCTTCTAAAGATGAGAAGTTGAGTTGACTGATTTTTTTCTCTCCATTTTTAACACCTTTACTGAGGTGTAATTAACAAACAGTAAACTTCACATGTTAAAATATACAATTATGAAACTATCACCACAGTCAAGATAATGAACATATTCATCACCTCCTAAAATGTCTGGTCTCTGTAATCCTTCTCTTCTGCCCCTCCCCGATTCCCAGGCAACCCTTTCTGTCACTATGGACTACTTGGGATTTTCTAGAATTTTATATAAATAAATTCACATAGTGTGTACTTGATTTTATCTGGCTTCATTTGTGCAGCATAATTATTTTTGAGGTTTGTCCATATTATCTGTATCTATAGTTCATTACCTTTTATTTGCTGAGTAGTATTCCATTATATAGTTGTCCCACAATTTGCTTATTCATTCTTCTATTGAGGACATTTGGGTTGTTTTTATTCTTTGGTTATTAAAAAATAAAGCTTTTATAAGCATTCATGTGCAAATCATTGGATAAATGCTCTCATTTTTCTTAGGTATATAACTAGGAGTAGAATGACTGGGTTGGATACAAGGTGTGATTTGTGTTGTGGTTGTGGTTATTGTCCTTTAAGAAATTGCCAAACTATTTTCCAAAATGTCTGTACCATATTACCCTCCCACCAGCATCGTGTAAGAGTTCCAGTTAGTCCACATTCTTGAAGTTGACTACTTTTATACATGAAGTGATGTAAAGCTTTTACTGAAAATTTTAAAACAATATGCTGCATTGTTAGTGGAAGTGCTGGTATTTCTCTCAGTGGGAAGGGACAAACTATCATCTAAATTTAAAATATTAGGTAAGCCCTAACCGGTTTGGCTAAGTGGATAGAGCGTTGGCCTGCGGACTGAAGGGTCCCAGGCTTGGTTGCGGGCACATCCCCAGTAGGGGGCGTGCAGGAGGCAGCTGATCGATGTTTCTCATTAATGTTTTTAACTCTCTATCCCTCTCCCTTCCTCTCTGTAAAAAAATCAATAAAATATATTTTTTTGAAAAAATCTTCAAAAAAATTAAAATATTAGGTAAGCTTATTAGAGTAGGCTAGTGTTCTAGAATTTTTATGCTAAAAATTAATTGCTTAAAAGATTTTCATTCTGGCTGGTGTGCTTAGTGGTTGAGCGTCAACCTATGAACCAGGAGGTGATGATTGGTTCAATTCCCGGTGGTCAGGGCACATGCCCTGGTTGCAGGCTCAATCCCCAGTGTGGGGTGTGCAGGAGGCAGCCAATCAATGATTCTCTCTCATCATTGATGTTTCTATCTCTCTCTCCCTCTCCCTTACTTTCTGAAATCAATAAAAATACATTTAAAAAAAAGATTTTCAGATTTCAAAAGGCTCATTTTCAAAGAAAATTATATATTTAAAATATAATTTTTAGTAAGTGTGAAGGTTTTATGTTAAAATGGATTCTAGTACCTTTATAAAAGAGCAGTAGTAGAATTACATGATAATTATGAAAACATAATTTCTATTATAGTTGTAATAGAGAAAAACTGGATTTGTATTTCAGCCACTTAATAACATTATGATCTCTGGCAAGTGATTTAACCATTGTGTACCTAGATTTCCTCATCTGTAAAGTGAGGGTAATAAAAGTACCCACCTCATAGAGTATTGGTGAAGATTAAAAGTGCTTCTTTAGCACATAGTAAGGGTACAGCAAATATTAGATCTTATACTTTATGGTTCAGTAGGTATATATAGGCATTTGTACGCTCACTTGTTTCCTTGCTGTTAACAAAATCACTTTGAGGCTACCAAAAAAAAAAAATTCCTAGATAAAAATAATAGTTTGCCTTAAGGACAGTTAGTATAGTTGATACTCTCATTTTTTGTCCTGCTTCCTCTGTTCACCTTGGACCTTTAATTAGATATGCACAACAAGTTGGGTGTCTGTTTTTCTGAATGTCATCAGGAGACCCTTGTTGCAGTTTCACTAATCTAGAAGCAAAATGTTAAAATTGATTTGCAGGTACTCTACTGAGTTCTAGAGGCCTACTGGGTATGCTTAGATGAGGAAACCAGGAATTTATAAGGTCTGTTATTAAACTCCTCTCTGCCAGTGGAACCATCAAAAGATCTTTGAACCTTGCTTTTTATTAACTGGATATTTTGATGACTTCATTCATTAAACTGTTAGGTTTTAGTGATAAAATTTGTGTTACTCCAATTTTGTAACATTTTGTTCTTTTTAAATTTGCTGTAACCCAGGTCTAATTAGTGTCATGAGCATGTGGTTTATCAAATGTATTTTGTGGTGACAGTGGTAGATTTCTTTTGGATATGTATTATTTTTGCCTTAGGAGGTCCTATTGCTTTTATAGTAGCTCTTCTTCTGATTATAGTAGATTAATCTTAATTCTCAAGCATCTTTATGGGTCTTTCCTTGATTCTCAAGCATCTTTGTGGTCTTTCCTTCTCACAACATCTTAACCTCCTGTAACAACATGTAACTTTTCACCATCTGTAACACATGAGCTTATTTTTCATGCCTCTTTTAAAACATTAATTTCAATTATTTTTTAGTGTATTTCACATAATATTTTTAATTGCTCTTATTTTTAGAGTTTATTAAATTGAGTTTATTTTACAGGTTAGATATTAAAATCAGAAATAAGGTATAGCTCAAAAGCATATTCATTATGATAGTAGTAGATTCTTGCTATATTGTTTTATATCTCAGGCAGGCATTCTATTGGTGGTACTTCATATGATAAATACATGGGTCATCCCTTTAATCTGAAGTAATGCTAGCAGGACTAAAAGAGTTACATGGAGCCATCAAAAGTTTCCAGGGTTGTATTAACTTTTAACTGATACAAAGTTTTAATATATGAGAGTGACCAACTTCTAATCTTCTTTTGATTAACTATTATAATAAATATTATGAAGTTATTACAGTTTATTGTACATTTTTTGGACTCATGACATGCCTTTAGAAATTTTATATAATTTAAACATACAGATACTTTGTTCCGTCTATTACATAATCTAATTATATGAATAAAATATTTAGTTAAATATGGTTTCAAAAGACATTAGCAATACCGTCTATACTAATAAAAGGGTAATATGCTAATTAGGGAGACCTTCTGGACATCCTTCCAGAGAAAGCCATGGTGGCAG